GAACTGAAACGCATCAAAAGGAATGCAGTTCAATTGATACCCTTTGATGAGTCGTCAGGCAACCCGGGTAACACTTTCAATGGGTAGGTCTTTCACTTTTAAAAATCGCAATATTGAAGAAGTCATGAAGAGCTTAAATGCAACGTGTGTATAATATAAGTATTCAAAACTGAAATAAAAACAACTTGTCAAACTGTCTCTCTTAAACACACAAACCTAAAAGGTCTGGGGCAGTGCCGCAATTCGGAAGGTCGGTAACATTTGAACAACAATCCGAAGGAACCTCGGGAACAAAATGGCAAAACAACGTGAAAACCATTCCAATGGACGTTGACGACGCGACACAGTACCCTTCGCCGAAGATACAGATTTTTTCTAACAAGAATGAAAATTTCACACCACGACGAGCGACACGCAAAGTTCGCGACTGTCGAAAGCAAGCAAGTGAACCTTCGACGGCACTCAAATTTAAACTAAATGCTGGCGCGTCAATTTTCTTTGGGGTATCACAACAGCAGGGTTGGGAGACCGGAGGACGTCGTTCGGAGCAAGCTGCAATAAATACACATGCTGATATGGAAGATGCATACTATGTGCCTTTCATGGCCAATGAAAAAGTACATTATCCTTCTGATACGCCTTATACCCTCTTCGTATTAGCTGATGGACACGGGGGTTCGAATGCATCTAGACATTTTTGTCGAATGGTTCCAGAAGCGGTGCAAGAGGTATTATGTTCCCGTTCTTCATGGTCATTTAGGGAAGCAGATGATCAACAATTATTTCGCGAAAAAATACGTGAAATGTACAAGAAACTTGATAAAGATTATTTAGATTCGCAGATGCGTAAATTTTCCGAATGGACAAATAACGGACATCCGGAACCAATGCCGTCAGATCAAGGTTCAACTTTGCTTATTGTTATCCTGTATGATGGTGTAGTTATCATTTGCAATCTTGGAGATTCGAAGACTGCCATATGCAAGAGAGTTCCTTCGAAAACGCCTGGTAAAGTTCCTCTCGAATTGGCTTATCAGTCTACAATTCAATCTCCAGGTCATCCAAGCAAAGCATACCATGTATACAGTAACGGAGGTATATTTCGCCGTGAAGAAAATGAAAAAATTATCAAGCCCAAAATTAATCCACCGACATATCCAAATGATTCACCCACATCATCTCAGCTAAAAATGTATTCTAGTCTACAGAAAGCTCGTATCTACAGGCCTCCAGATTTTCAAAATCCTTTTGGATTATCAAATGATCTTTCTCTCAATCTTGGCGATACGATGGGTGATCTGTTTTTCAAGCTTGACCCACCATTATTTCCGTGCGAAGCAGACGTAGACTTTTTGATCATGGAGCCCGGAGTGGATTACATCGGGGTCATTGCCCCTGATGGATTGTGGGATCATATGAATGTTAAGATGCCGGAATTTGTACGAAAACTTGCTAGATACTTAGGACTATTAAAAAGTTGCGAAGATTCGAATTACACGACTAGTGTATCTTCTGAAGAAGGTAGTGATAATATTATGGAACAACCACCAAGAAGATACAATATTGTTTCTTCGAGTTCCGATTCGCCTCAGAACATGTTGACCGGAGAACAACTTCACGATCTTGCTGGAGCGTTATGTGATAGAACTAGAGATAGTTTGGACATATTTGAAAAAGATCAGGGACGTTATGATGATTGTACAGTCATAGCTTTCTCTTGTAAATACTAAAA